GGCGGCATACATCTTAAACACGTAATTAAATAAAGTGTATTTTTCTTACATTCCAGTCGCGTGTTCACATTCAGTAATCTCTGTGGAACCAAATAATGGTTACACTACCAAAGTTGAAAGCTAAGTACTTAACATTTCCACTTCTGTAAATCGAGTAATATGTTAATAAAAATATCATGTAATATATGCTTTGAATTCGTCTCGATGTCCTCTAAAGCTATGAATAAAAAAAATGTATGTTTCTATTTAAAAAACCGAAGGTGACCTTGACTTTCCCAAGAGAATAAACTGTTTTAAAAATTTGCTTTACTAATATCTATTGTGCACTTCATACCCTGCAAATATTGCCCTAAACATTTTTTCGTAAGGTGGCTGCAAGTGGGAGAAAAATCGTGAGTATGTAAATCGAGTAATATGTTAATAAAAATATCATGTAATATATGTTTTGAATTCGACTCGATGTCCTCTAAAACTATGAATAAAAAAAATGTATGTTCCTATTTAAAAAACCGAAGGTGACCTTGACTTTCCCAAGAGAATAAACTGTTTTAAAAATTTGCTTTACTAATATCTATTGTGCACTTCATACCCTGCAAATATTGCCCTAAACATTTTTTCGTAAGGTGGCTGCAAGTGGGAGAAAAATCATGAGTAGCGTTATAGGTAACACCCTGTATAATTAGCAAACTTATAAAGCTTCGAATATACTTCGTTTATGTTTGAGTGAACTTATTGTCAGAAGTAGCGTTCTTATTTTTCTAAATATGTATAAAATGTTCAAATTTACTTGTGGAATATTACAACTCATCGCTAACCCTAGGCTTTTTATATGTCTCACCTAACCTCTCTGTAAATTCTTTCCAGACTCTCCCTTTATTTTATCTGCAATAAGCATAATTTCATTTCATGCAAAAGCTGGATTTAAAGAAATGTAACAACCATACTTGCTTCTGTCTGTAACCCCTCCACGGGTAACGTCACAGATAACATCCAGTGATATTAAACTGACATCATAACGTCATAGATTACGCTGTGATTTTGAGTTACAGTTCTCACAAACGGGCAGGGTAGCGTTAGGTCAATCGGATATGTTTCATCTGTAGCAGTCATTTTTACCATGATCACACGGTAGATTTTCACACCTGTACACTCGAGTTACTCAGAGGGCACAATACAATACCATTAAATACCGAGTTTCTTTTTCTACTATTCACAACTCTACAAATTCCTAAATCACCAAATTTTTACATTGTCAAATCTAAAATTTATTCCCTATATCTCAAATATTAAAAAAAAAGAACGTAAAATCCTTAAAATCCCGAATTTCAAAATCACCAAATTACTATATCCCTAAATTGTTAACCCACCACAAAATTCCTAAAAATTAACTAGTAGAAAGTTTTTCTCCCTTAATTGTGGATGGATTATTTTAAAATTAATAAATTAAGATCAAATACAAAAATAAATTTCCTTGAAAAGATCTTATATATTTTAATGGAAAAACAGTCAAGACTCTATGAAGCCGATGGATCTCTTGACTGCTCCATCCTATAACCCTGGGTAAAAAACACGTTGCAGTTTTAGTGCCAGATTTCCTTCGAGTGTTTGAACACTTTTCAGTTTTAGTAAAATTTTTAAAGAAAGAAGACCTTTTACTGAGTCGCTGAAATAAGGACAGTAACAGCTAAAAACATAAATGTATTTTTCTACACATTTCAAATAGTTGTCATATATGTTACGTCATAAGGAAGGCAGATTTACTCTTATGCGTACATTGTAATTCCGTTATGCCCAATTAAACCCGCATTCTTTCCAAATGACATCTTTCCTGCTGTGTGGAATACGTACGCTAGAATGTATATACGTTCGTTTCAACCAACTCTATACATATTCACATTTCCGCGTTATCTGGAACGCGATCTGATGGTTGGTATATCACAGCGTGGGTATACACGCACGCGACATCGCGCAGAGAAGTGGTGCAAAGCGAGTGATGCATGAGACGCAAACCAATGTGTCCCCGGTATTCTTAAACAGCGCTATTTATACCCCTGACTGCACAGACTAAAAAAACGGCCAAGGAGCGGGTTCCTCAATAAGGCAGCAGGTAGGCCGTACAGTGATTCAGAGGCAATTTTTCCAGCTGGATCAGACAGTGGCTCGGTTCTCTGTCTGTGTCCGCAGTTTCATCCACCATCACCGTCTGCCCTTCTCGTCTTTCCTCATCTCTTTCTCTGTATGTCCTGTTTCATCCTCTCTCGCGAGCTTTCTCACCAGTCCTCTGTCGTTTCTCGCATCCTTCATGCCGCTAATCCCGAATCATGGATCTTGTTGTCGCCTTGGTCTCATTGCCGGCCCGCGGTGATCCTTTAAAGGAGAACCGGGACAACGTGTCTGTTAATGACCACGCGTGCGAGCGAGCTCGAGCGTGCGAATCGAAATTAAAACGCGTCTGATTAAAAGCTGGCGAGTCTACTTAAGGGTACTTGTTCCGAATCTTCTTGACGAATTATTTTTATTTTGTTCTGCACATTTTCTTTATTACTACGCTATTGCATATTAACACTTTGCGGCTATGAACCTATTTTATGCCATTGGATTATTTTACTAGTAATACTAAATTAACGAAACCAATCGAAATGACAAATTGTAAATATCTAGTTATAAGTTATAAAATTATTAAGAAGCTTTTGCGTAAGTGCGTGTTTACTTCTGTTAAGATAAACGTGAAGATAGTCGTGTAAACTAGTATCATTTCTTTTTATTTATTTAGGTTAGGTCTTAGAAGACAATAGTACAGTGATGAAATAATATACCGTTTGTATAGATTCAAATCGATAAAGTTATACCTGTAGTAGCAATAACACTCAAGGAATCGTTACATTCTGTCGAGTATTTGATTGACGAGTCTCGCTTGTAACGCATTCCTAGTTTTACTATGATAACTCTTACTCGTATACTTAATGTTTCAATTTGAAGTTTAAGTCCAATTATAATTTTGCAAACTCAAGGCTCGCTGGATATACATATAAATGGACATAACGTTTTAACTTTCTTTATTTGTTTTAACATTGTAGCAGTGGACAGTAAATGCTGACTGGTGCACCGACAAATAAATCATATATCACAGGGTTAAATGTTTTGGTGTACAGTCTCTGCAACGCTTCTCTACCAAGAAAATAATCTTATCGCAGCTGATCTGTGAGTGACTTGCTTGTGTCTAAGCAACTATATTGGGTTGTTGTATATGTATTATATCTGATACAACGCGTGCTGTGGTAATATAACGAGAGTCTACTACAGATTATCAGGTTAGACGGGTTATCCCGCGTACTAGAGAATTGTAGCGTTTATAGATTATGGTTACGACTTCTGCAATTGATTGCTCAAGTTTTTGAAAACAACCCAAGAACATAATTTATTTGAATTTATTTGATGTTTTTCTTCTCAGAAGCAGTCTACTTCTACTTGAATCTGTTTCTTTTGCATATAAACTGCCACTGCTGAGGTCATCAACGAAAGACCCTACAAACTTAAGCAGGTTTCCAAATAACACTACTAATACATACTGTCCTCTTAAACGGTTGTTCATTCAAACAGAAACCGTATTCCACATTATTTAACATTCAGGTTACGCAACTAATTTTTTCAATTTTTTTTTGACTGACGAGTTCGATAAATAAATCGTTCTGCATGGGGTTAAACTGTTTAGTTTAACGATTAGACCGAAAAGATGCAACAAATTTTTATCTTCAACATTCATGCGAAAGGTTCTTTTCAAATTATAATGACTAGCCTTTTTTTTTACACTTCTATTTAAAATAAAGCTTCGATCTATAAAACATAACAATTTTGAAGGGAAGTGCAGTTAAAATAAAGAAATTCCCAACTTCCAAATTTAGTAATCTATTTCAGTAACCCGTACATCAAATTATTTGAGGGAAGTAAATGAAATAAATAATTTTTCAAGGGAGAAATTAATGAAAATTGATTGATTTGGTTCAAGCACATAAAAAAAATAAATTTTTTTTATTTTGCTATAAAATAAAAACAATATAGTACTACGTCGAATTCTGTTGTGGAACATGATATTGTTTATGCTACTTCTTAAATCTTTTAACAAATCTGCCTCGCTTGTTTCATTAGCTACTACATTTTCACGTAATTCGAACTCAATTGTATCAATGGCAATTATGAATTTACTTTTCAATGTCTCCTTGTGGAATCTAACGTCGATTGAATTCTTCCTTCGTTGGAACAATTATTTTATCTATATGTGACGTATAGCCTTGTTTGATTTAGACATGGCGTATCTTCAGATCATTTAATTCGATTCAAGAGAATATTTATTAGGTTGCGGAAATTCTTAGATATTATAAACCAGAAATTTCACAAAACACAAAAAGATAATCTTAAACTAATTTTCTTGTTTTATAAAAAAATGCTAGCAATTTCTACACGGTAATGCACTGTATAGCCATAGTTGTCTAGTTATATTTTCTTATGTCATTCTTCAAAATCACACAACGACACGTTAATCATTTAACACTTTGCCAACCGACTTTGGAAATTTCCGCACTTTCTGGTTAAAATTTAAAGAGCCAAAGTATTAACTGCAGAACTTAGTTTCAAAAATCCCTTATGGGAAGCACAATCGAAGTCAAGCAATAATGAGTATACGTCGACTACAGGGCGAATACGCCTATCACAAATGTTAAGAAAATAGTTTTTATAGTAAATAGTAAATTTTTTATTTTATTCGAGCATACACAATTACTATTTTTTAAATAGTAATACTCTTCAGCTGTACTGATATAAAGAGTTAGGATTGACATGCACAGTTAAGTGGTTAAACCGTTTGGCAATTGTTTTCTGAATGTCTAGCGGTAAGTTAGGTAAAACGTTCACAAGTGCAGCGAGGATTACTGCGGGATGTAAACAACAATTGGATGTCTCAGAAATTTCATTTTGTAATAACAATAGATATCAAACGCAATTACCTGCTGACCGCAAATGCCCCATTCTCTTCCACTGGCAAAACTAAAAACTTGAAGTCCGATGAAAAGAAAGCAATCTTCAATTCAGTGTTGCCTAATTCAGTGGGAAGAATCATCTCGGTGTCTATTACCACGTCTCCCATGTTCCCGGATAACGAGCCAGGAACATTCACGTAAAATGCGATCGGTACATAGTTTGCGCCGCGTCCTTAAAGATTTCGCATTCTCGGCCGAGCCGCGGAGAGCCGTAAAGCGTTATCAAGCGCAGAGATTTCGCTCGGTATACCGTTATCTCATTAGGCGAATTACCGAAGAACCACCAATGTTTATCGACGGCCCGATCGAGCTAATGATTGCCGATACTGACGACTACTCTCGGCAAAACGGAGAACACACGGATCGGTGTGGGCGTTGGGCCCCTCAATTAACATTGGAATGGCATTGCCGTCGATTTCATGTAGGCGTTTCGGTATTCGAGCCACGTATTCCTTTCGTACGTTTCACTGTCGTTGTTAGTGTTGCTGCAAGTGGCTCCCTGATTATTTCATGCGGATTCGTAAATCTTCGTCTACTGTACAGACACAGTTCGCAAAATTATAAGACACCCTATTCGATTCCCCTATTCGATGTTCTGACTAACATGTACAATCAAGAGCAAATGCTTCCGTATGAAAATCGCTACCAAGGCTAAACAGGTCCTATACCCGTGCATTTTTAGAAGATTTTGAAGATAATTTGGGGATACAGGAATGTTGAGATTTGGGATTTAATCCCTTAGGTACGACGCACCATTATAGTGGCTGTCGCGGATACCATCTCTCTGCACAACGATCCACCATAGTGGTTTTCGCGAATGTCATGATAGATTACCTAGTGCCATAGTGGCTCGCTCTACTGTTTTACTCGCCCACCGTTTGAATTCAATGATCGTTCTCATATGTTTTAATTCGCATTTTCTTTGTCTTGGCCAAGTTTTATAATTGTATTAACAGATCCCACAAAAATACGTTACATATACTTAAAAGATAACGACAAGTAGTGTAGGCACTATGGGCGAAGCACCTCTTTGCACTAATATACGATGCATATTGGAAACATTTGGAAATTAGTACAATACATATTTTGTGAATTTTTAACACTAGATTGCCTAAGGCAGTCATTTTGACTGCTTTTCAATTTCAATTATAAAAACAATTGTGTATAGAATGACACAGCTTCTTAGAATTTTGTGACTTTTTGTACAACATAGAAATGCGTTTATTAACCATTGTAGTTGCCTCCCCCCTCTTTCATTTCCGGTATATATATGTGTTATACCTGTATTGCATACCTACATTGCCCAAAAGCAGTCAAAATGACTGAATACTAAGTTTCAGTTTTTCTAGTCTTAAATTCGCGAGCGTGTAGTGAGTGTGAAAAGTTGATGTTTTTTTGAAGGAGTTCCTCGACCTCTGTGCGTTGTCACATGATAAATTGTCGATTTGGACGTATACTTGATAAGTTGCAGTTTCTCAATAAGCTAAAGTAGTACTTGTTATTCGAATCTTTATGCAGTGATACTTGTTCTAACAAACTGTTTATTTCATTTCTTTTGCGTCCTAAATTCATGAAAGAAATGTCGAATAGAAGTGAGTTATTGGAAAAGCTAACGGACATAAGTGGAGAGTGCTCCAATGTAGAATCAGATGCAACAAATTCTGAACTATCATCTGAAGATGAAGCGGATTATATTCAAAGTGAATCAACTGACACTGAAGATAGCGGTGAAGAGTTGATCATCAATAATGAAAATGAAAGTGTCATCAATATGCCCAGGAAAAGGTGTAGAGTGCTAAGTAGTTCAGACTCTGATGAAGAAACTGAAAACACCTTTCAGGAGACCGAAACAGTTGCGCCGATGGTACTGTGTGGTCAAAATTTGACGAAGGTGGTATTCCTGGAAGATTACCATCTACTTGTATTTTCATCAGGACGTGAGGACCCACAAAAATCAACTGCAACATCATCAAATGCAACCCATTCTAACAAATGCAAAATTTGTCAAGTACGACTTTGCCACAACAGCAAAACAAATAATATATGTGAAAAATGTCAAAAGTATGTTTGCGGAAAACGTACACATAAAAAGATTTCCACTTTCATTTGCAAACAATGTACAAAGAATAATGCATAAATTATTTTTTTTTCCTAAGTGAAGTAAATTTTTTTTATTGTTAATATTTACTAATAACTTGTTATATAACTGTAAATAATATAAAAAATATTAAAAATTAATTTTAAACAAATTTCTTTACACATTAGTTATTGTTTCACAATGCAGTCATTTTGACTGTTTTTAGGCAATATAGGTGTATACTAAGTTTCAGTCTTTCTAGTGTTAAAAAAGTAAATTGTCGAAGTTAAAGTATACGTGTTATATTATTGGGAAAAATTATAATTTAGTCATCAAAAACTTCTTTCCAATGTACTAATAACGCGAGTACATTGGAAATAACTAATAATAGAGAACAATATATCGTTTACGCGTAATTCAAATCAACCTTTGCCGTACAGAGAAGCATACAGGAGATTAAGGATACCTCCGTACAGGTGACTAAGGATATAAAGATTCGGGATCTATGAATTGGGAATGGAGGAGTCTAAGAATATGGACTCTGCGGTTTCGGGATGGTAAAATTGGAATATTTGGATATCTGAAAATCTAAGAATTTGGAGTGTTATTAATTAATTAGTTTTACTTTTAGAGGTTTTTACTTTATATTCAATAACGCACGTTGTTACCTTAATGCCTTTATTACAAAGACTGCTAGGACAATATAGGAAACAATAGAATACATAATATATATATACAGTTTACATATTTACATAAAGGCGTCGCTTAGATATATGAAATGATAAGGTAGATTCCTTCTATGAATACAGCTAGCTATTACATTTACTCTCCAACATGGAGATTTTAAAATTTGAGAATTTCAAACTTTATAACTTTGAAACTGTGGAAATTTGGAAGTTGAGAACATTGACAATTTTTAAATTTTAAATAAAATGTTGGAGAATGTTCATAAGTTGTATCATCAAAAAAATAAATTGTATCCTGTGAATAATAGGTGGAAAATTTCTTTCTTTCATTTTCTAAACACAACTTTCTCAGAAAAATATTAATTTAACTTTTTCATTAATTTAATGAAAGGGAGGTGACACAACGCACAAGTGATTCATTGGTTAATTAAACATACAATTAAACTAAATATTGGTAATTAATTAATTTGACACTACGGCACAACGGCAAAGCAGAGAGGAGTACTGTTCGGCCGCGAACCGAAACCTTTGCCGCGGTTAAACGATTTATTGCAGGGCCCAAGCGGTTCGGCGCGTAAGCCATCATCAATAGTTTTTACTTCGTAATACGGGTCACCGGGGACCCTATTGTCTATCACATCCGGCCCGAACGAATCTTACCGTAGACATGTACGTATCATAAACCAGCTACAGCTGTACCTCTCGTTTAAACAGTTTTTGACAAACAAAGGCATAGAATTTTTCTTGACCGTTACTTTCGGAAACGCGAGGGTGTTCAGGCGATTTCTTTTGTAAAAAATAGTTAGTCGAACGTTGAAGCTTGCACGGTTCGGATCGAGAGTCAAAGAAGTTAATCGCGAGTTAGAAGTTCCGCGTAACGTAACATAATATAACCAATGCAGGGTGGTTCGAAAATCATTCACGACGCCATTCGAGCGAGACCCTGCACTCCTCGAATGGGCCACGGTAGGGTGGTTAAGTCACACACTGTACATTGTTCGGGCGAGACCTACACCCTCGAACAGGCCACGGTAGGGTGGTTGAACGTACATACACTGTACACTGTTCGGGCGAGACCTACACCCTCGAACGGGCCACGGTAGGGTGGTTGAACGTACACACCACATGATCCGAGTGAGTCCTACCTTCTCAACTCGATCATCGTGAATAATCTCACGCAACGTGAATTATCACTCAAATCGAACAACACTGAGCGAGACCTTGT